ATGTATTGTCTATTCTTCTAGGGTTTACAACCTTGAATAGCCACAAAAATGAAAAGTTAGTTCATTACGTACAACGGACGCCTTAGGGATTAGAGTCTCAAGGCTGAAAGTTGCCGGTAATGTTGCAATGTTTATGTTTGAAATTGTAATCTGACTTCAGATTTCCAAATTAACTTTCTTTAAAAAGCCATAAATTGCAATCAGCATTAATTGTATTACCTTTGAGTAATGAAAACACTAAGCTATAGAATGTATTAATATTTTCAAGATGAAATTTAATTAGAATAGTTTATCTGCTGCAACAATAAGACTTCCTCATGTACAATGGCTCAAACAGAATTGAAGTTTGCATCTTGGTTGTGTGGACGGGCAGGTTGTTGAGGTAGCCGCTCTCAGTGAGGTTACTCGGGATTTATCTCCAACATGTGACTTTGGGGATCTCCTTTGGGGTCATCCCAGCTCAACTGAACATCAATGAGACAAAAATATATATGATGTGCATATATTTTATGGGCCAGATGTCAGATTGTCACATATCACTTCCAGCGACATTCCATAATCTAGAACCCAGTCACAGGCCCATGCCTAGCCATATGGGGTACCAGGAAAGGTAGTCCAGCTGTGTGCCCCAAAGAAAAGGAAAATATTTTGGCAGGAAGCAGCAGTCTGTGCTCTGTTCACCCTGTTTATGCTTGTGACATACAATAGACATCTGGGTAATGGTTGTAACTGAGAAGGCTGATCTGGCTCTGCATGACTCAGGAACATAAGGTAATGCTAGTTGCATACTAAATATTTTTTACTTTACAAAGGCATTTTCCATAATTTATGAACTAATAGCACTAATTGAAAAGTGTAGGGAAAACTACTTAATAAAGTACATTACATATGGATTAATTTGGAAGTAACTCTTCTCCTTCACTTTTCTTAGTTAATTTAAAAACATGAGGAGAGCTTTGGGAGTGCAGGCATATGTCCCCAGATCAAATTTGGCTCAAGAGGACAAACATGGACTGTATGAGTGTAATTGTACAAATTCTAAAATGAAATTCATGGTCCCTTGTGCCCCGTGTCAGTCACACATGCACACAGACACAGACACACACACACACACAGACACACACACACATTTTTCTCTAAGAATGAAATTAAAGCAGAAAGACTGTGATCCTTGTATTCAGAGAACCTTGTTGCACCACATCCAACAGACAAGCTCCTTAACCATTCAGTTCTGCAAAGTTCTGCGATTCTATGTAGAGCTTCACTACAGTGTTGATGTTCAGACATAATTCCCATCGCTTTCTGACATGTTCAGTTTCCATTTGAAATCAGTCTGTGCTCGACTCCCTAAACGTGCAGAAGAAACAATGAATTCTCTCCGCCTCTCAAGTTCCTGCCCATTGTTTAATAAGAATTCCCCATCCAACTTGTTCTGGTTTCTCTCAGGGTAGATTTGCCTTTGTCTTCACCCAGTTCTCAGTTTCCAAAGGGCCAGCTGTGCTCCAAACAGTCTCATCACATTTCATTTTGGTTAAGGTCCCCCCACCCCACCCTACTCCATACCTAGAATATCTTTTAGTTCTAAGTCATCCCCTCTTTGTACTCCTATGGCAATAGCTGAAGTTTTCTCCTAGGCCAGTTAGAATATTCTTCCTCACTTAGCTGCCTCCATTAGAATGTCTTATTTAATTTTGGCTGTATTCACCAATTCTAAAAATAGTTCTCTCACTTAACACCCCATTAAGTCAATTCCCTTAGACACATACTCTCTTTAAATTAAATTAGGTGTATTTAGGTCAGAGAGAAACTCACATGTTTTGCCCACACTATCATATTGCTTGCACAAACTCATTCAAACCTAGCACCTCTCACAGTAGCTACCATCAGAATCTTTCCTTCAGTCATCCAGTCAGACACATCCCTCAAGCTCATATCTCCGAGGTGGGTTCTCAGCAACTATATGCCATTTAAAATGGTACACAAGATTACATGTGTGTGCAAATACATGTGTGTGTATAACACAGCACAGAAATTTGGGTTGTAATTTGACCCAAGCCAGAAATTCTATGATACCAAAATTTACACTTCCTTTGCTATAAGGATATTTCTCCTATATTCAGAAATTCTTATTCTGAATTCTGTGGTGAAGTGGTTAACCACAGGGTAGCAGGAGTGCCTCGCCTAGAACACCCAAGGACTGAGCATGGGCGTAGAAGTGATGCCTCCCTGGTTCTTCTAGTCTAAAGCCTTTCAAATGCTTTTCTGTGACTGGTGGTGAACTTACTGGCCTGCAGTTTTCCGGTGCTACTGGTCCCTACATAGCCATTTTATATTCTTTAGGGATATGGCCTGTGTAAAGTAAGCTTTTGGAAATGTCAGCAGAGGCTCTTCTCTGTTCAGCCTGTTTCTTCTCTGCTCTCATTCCTTGCCAGGCACCCTGGATGCCCTCCTGGCACCTTGTCGATTTCTAAGCAGCTAACATTTCGATAATGACATTAATTTTGCCATGTGGCAATCTGGGCATTTCTCATTTCATCATTTCATTTCAACCCTTGCTTGCTGAGAATCACTTGTGATGTTGTGTTCTTAAGATCATGAAGTCTGATTGAATGGAACCAGACTCAGGACCTAGAGCCAGAATTTCTGGCTAATAAATGGGAAACACTCCAAACAAGTGGATTTTTCTTTCTAATGGATTTAATTTCCAATAGCTAGCTATACCTTGAATTTGGCTTAGAAAAAGAGATACAGATAGTTGTGAAGTTTGTTTCCTTGTTTAATATTTTGTATTTCAATAGTCTTCTTGGCGGCCTTGGAAGGAAGCAGCTTTTCAAATAATGTTACTCTTCTCTGGCTGGGATCACAGGCTCTATCTTGGTGTAGTCTACTGTCCCACTGGAATGCCACAGTGTCTGGAGCCAGACCATGCAAGTTCAAATCCCACATCCAACCTGTGTCCTTGGGCAACTTGTTTAAAATATGAGTTTCCTAATTTCTATGATCGTAATAGGTAATAATTATACCTACCTTACTGGGTCTAAATGAGCAAATACATTGGCTTGTATGATCATTATTTTCCTTCTTTATTTTTTTGAAAGAATATTTTCGTTACTTAATATTCTTGGATGCCTGATTTTTTTTTTAGTGAATTAAATGTTTCTAAGGACCTATCTCTCCTTTTGATTATATTACCACAAGCTTTGCTTATACTATCTCAGATGAATAATATTTTCTTGATATAAAGATCTCAGAAATAACTGGATTATTTGACCATAGATCTCTTTCTAAAAGAAGGGAAGGGGACTCAGATCACACAGTCATATGTCGGTGCCTTCACTGGGACCTCTCATTCCTGGAGGGTTCAGACTGGCCCCAGGGATCCGGTCCAGCTCTCCCATTAGGTGGATGTGTATCCGGAACAGAATACGAATAAAACCATAGCTGAGGGCTGACGACATTTTCTGATTATTTAAATCCTCCTCAGTGATGATTCTTCACAAAAGTTAAACGTTCAGTTTAAATACCTGTTATTTAGTCA